TGAACTTATTTTCATACTTTTTTTTATAAACTAAAAGTTAAATTAATAATATAATAATAAAAATATTTTTTTGTACAAGAATTAGGTCACTACTTGATTAAATATAATTTAAAAATTAACATTTTATTCTAATAATTCTATTCAAACATACTAATCATGTCAATTTCATGTTGTTCGTATTTGACAATAATTTAACCTATTCATTTTTCGTGCTAACGGGTCGTGTCGTATACAGGTTCGTATTAAGAAATGGTCGACCCTAACTTGCTGATTTTGTGTCAATTTTAAATCGTATTTTCATATTGTGTCAAAAATTATCACTCTTAATCCTTGCGTTGCACTATTACATAAGTCTGATGCACCCCACGAAAGGGAATGAATGAATAAACAAAATTAAAAAGAAAAAAGATTTGTATCAAAATTCATTTACTCGAGGGGTCTGGCAGCTCCACTAAGTTAACATCCAAACAATAACGGACAAATTTAAACCCATTTCAATTTGGTAGGTCATGTTTACAATTTTCGACTTAAGTGCCATTCCCCTGGGAGAATGGTGGGGTCCGTTTTGAGGGTTGGTAGGATCTACACTTCACGCTAAAATCTTAATGGAATTCACGAGGTATGAGGGGAATGTTCGAGCTAAAGAGCTCAAGGCTCGTAAATGGTACATTGTGAGTAAATAGTGAAGAGGTGGAATTTAGTGGCTCTACCTAATGCTACAGTAAATTCAGAAAAGTAATATTGGACTGTTTAAGACTATATTCCCTAGGTATGACGTGGTCTTCTAAAACATATTGAGGTGGTATTGTGACCTATCCTTAAGCTTGGATGCTTCGTGTTCTTCCATAACTCTGGAAGAGTCTGCTGTGAGATCGTTTTGCTTTGAGGACGACATCCTGTTCTTTTGGCCAGCTCGTGAGTAAGGGAGCTCGGTATACTCGCATGTCCTAAGCTAATAACATTAATTATCCCCGTGACCCAGTGGAGATGACCTAAACACTTTTAACTGATGATGTAAGTGTATTCATCCTTCGTCGATTTGGATTCTTTTAACTGATGATGTAAGTGAACAATCTTGGCTTCTCTTCTTGGGATGTCATTTGGAATATCATCAATTGATAACTTAACTTTGTCAAAATTTCAATTAAGTGTGATTACTTTTAGTGCTTATTATAATTGTGATTGTCAATTATGATTATTGAAGTTCGTACAAAGGATTTTAAGTTTATTAATTATGATTCACGTTAAAGAGCTTGAATGATTGTTGAAGTTATTTCCAAGTAAGAATTGAATTTAACATGAGTAAGAGAAGAACTAAAAATAGATAAAGAATAATTGACTTAGATGATATATGATCGTTATTAACGGTGAGAATACATCTGAGTAGAAAAAGATCAAGACTTCTATGGTCATCAATACCCCTGGTCCACAATCTGTGAACAAGAAGAAAGAAAAAAGGATGTTTCGTGACCAACTAACTAGAATCCAACCTAGAAGTAAAAAGGTTTTATCCCGTCAAAGGAGGTAAACAGAAGGAATAAGAATGGAAGTCAATGTGATTTTCGAGGTCTAATTTAGAATATTTAGGGTTTATATATGCAATTTTGTAGATTAGCCATGACCCAAAAAGAATTGAAAGAACCAGTCTCAACTTCTTTCAACCCAACGAGTAGAAAAACAACCTAAGCAACTCAACTCAATATTAAAAATCTCATTTTAACCATTTAAGATCGGCTACATTAATCCTAATTTTCTATTCTGATCGTTGTGAAAACCGATCTCAATAGAATGCAATTATTAGACCTCTTTACTACACCCATATTTAAGAGGTAGAACCTTAGAATACTCTGAAAATTGATGGGATCATGATGCAATAAAAGTTCTCTATCTAAAAAGAATCATAAATTATATTTTGACCCCTCTAAGTATAACCATCATCCCATCAAATACACAAATTAAGATATTTATAATTTTATTTATCCAAAAAGAAATGGGGAATGCATGTGAATATACCTACAGATAAGCAACACACAAAATTTCAAACTTTATTATAAGGTGGTAATTAATTTGTATGGTATATTAATGATTTAGGTTTTTGACATGTCAAATCACATTTGCACAACACCGTCACAATAAATAAAAAAAAATACATAAATTATTATTAATATGTTATGACTCTTTTAGAAATTTTTGTGTTTCAGATCCAACAATCAGAGGCAAAAAAAAAAAAAAAAAAAAAAACTAAGGAGGGGACTGCCGGTGGGGTTGGGGATGCTTAGGCGGCGGCCACCGGTGGAACCTGCCTCCGTAAGTCTCAGGAAGATGTGCAGAAGCATCTTGGCTAAGGTGTAAAGTATTACAAAACCTTTGCAAATGTCTATTTTGAATGACTACTTTAGTAAAGTTTTAATGTGATACTTAAAATTTGAATTCTCAATTTATAAAGATACAATAATGATAAGAATTGATCTAATTTTTATATACTTTTGATCTAATGTTACAAAATTCATATTAAAAAAAAATTGTTTAAAAATATCATTTTTTTTCTATACAGTCTCTAATGTTAGATAAATCAATCAAAACATCAACACACTCTTCAATATAAACAATCTCATCAATCTACACTTATCTCACTTTTCTCTCTATTTATTTTAATTTTAAATCACGAAAAAAAATTAAATTATTATTTAAAATATAAATATCACAGATTCATTACATCAGAGGCCAAGAGCCATCCCCTTGACTCGTACCGTTGAGAAATTTACTCCACAAAAAATTAAGCAAAAAAGTTGTAGAATTGACATGTTTCTTGCGTGTCCCAATTGAAGTATTTTGAGAAATGAAAATAAATTGAAGAATGAATGTTTTTTCGGTAGGAGGAAAAAACTCAAGAACCCTCGGTATGTTATCTCATTCAATGACCAGATTAATATTGAACCTTATGCAAAGTCGTCTCTTCGCACATGTAAATTTCACTTAAAATATTGGCTTAATTAATGATGCAATAGTTGATATAATCTAATAGCATTATTGTAATTAAACTATTAGCCTTTTTTAATGGAATTTTATCAGTTTTCACATTATTATATCTAAGTATTAACTTAAATTTTTAAATCCCAATAATACCATTGATCTTAAAAACTTTAGTATTTATAATTTTTTCCTTGGATCATGCAATTAGGAACAAATAAAAATTTTAAGCTTGTCGAGAACAAATAAATATATATTTTTATCTCACGAGCAATATGTAGTTGTTTGAAAGAATAATGTTAGTAGTACTTAATTTGAGAATTTATTGTAACGATTTAATTAATTTTTATTATTAAATTAATAGTGTTAGATAATATTAAATTAATAGGATTGTATTTTAATGTTCAATAGTATTAGAGCCACAATCAGAGCCGTGCAATACCATTTGACTAAAAGAAGTCTGCCAGGTGTATGGTACAAAACTAGGGTGCAGGACAGGAGGGCTTGATCACAGATAACATGGAATAGCAGATTGACTAGTTCGGTTTAAGGTCCTGTACGGAAGACATGGGGCAGTGGTTAAGCAGTTTCCACGTGACCGTGTGTAAGTTTCGGAGCAGCCACAATTTCCTCAACTTTTACTCATTTCACTCGGCTCTCTCCCTTATCTCTCTCTGCCTAACCCTTGTACAAATGACACGACAAAACACACCACTGTCAGTATAAAAACAAAACGTACGTGAACTCAGTCTCTGACCTAAGACCCAAGTTTTTAATATATATGGTGTATCTACGCACATATACACCGAATTTATTACTAATATACCTCATTTATCAAATTTATTTATCAATTTATTATCATTTTTAACTTATTTACCAAATTATCGTTATTTTAAAAACAGATTTGGCAAATCCGACTTCATGGGAAAAGTAAATTTGACAAATTGGACTTCATTTGAAAAACGGATTTAACAAATCGAACTTCATTTGGAAAGCGAATTTAACAAATCGGACTTCATTTAAAAAACAGATTTGACAAATCCGACTTCAATTGAAAATCGAATTTGATAAATCCGATTTCATAGAGAAAGCCGGCATACCAAATCTTTTTTTATATGAAAAGCGGACATACCAAATCAATCTTTATATGAAAAATAGACTTACAAAGGTGCAAGCCTTTATATGTATAATTGTGTTGATGGCCAAAAGAGTATTTGGTTATTTATTGAATACGTTTGTTCTCTCTGATTCTATATTTTTTGTGAATAAATTACTCACTTTTATTACTCGTTAAAAATCCACTAATAGATTCTATTTAAATTTATTAGTTATAACCCGTGTCTGATATAACTCATGCTTGAAGACACGATAAAATATAAAATTTGAGTATCCAAGAAATCGATCCCACTATATTAAATTTTTTCAAAATATATTAATTATAAATTAATCAAATATTAAATAATTAAATATATGATAAAAAAGAGTGATTTATTTTTTTGGGAGAAAATATATAAAATTAAGAATTTCGGATGGTATCCCAGTAAGAAAATTAGATGAAATATTAAAAGTTACTAGTTGAGACAAAAAACGGATTTGGTATATTTGCTTTCTAAATGAAGTCAGATTTAGTATATTTACTTTCTTTATAAAATCGAATTTGTCAAATCCGCTTTTCCTATAAAGTCGGATTTGTCAAATTCGTTTTTCAAATGAAGTTGAATTTGTCAAATCCGTTTTTAAAATAACGGTAGTTTGGACAATAAATTGATAAATAAATTTAATAAATGGGATAGATTAGTAATACATTCCACATACACCTATATTAGAGAGAGAGAGAGAGAGAGAGAGAGAGAGAGAGAGAGAGAGAGAGAGAGAGAGAGAGAGAGAGAGAGAGAGAGAGAGAGAGGGTAATGGATGATCGGTCACAAGTTTTAGATTATAAACAACAACCGAAGAATTAGTTTCAACTTAAGAGCCAAGTTTGATACATACATAGCTAGAAAGAGAACAGCGGCAGCTTGAGGGAGCTAATGGAAGATCGCCCAACTGGTTTTAGATTCTACCCAACAGAAGACGAATTGGTTTCGTTTTATCTGCATAACAAGCTAGAAGGAAGGAGACAAGATCTCGATCGGGTTATACCTGTTGTCGATATCTACGACTACAACCCATGGGACCTCCCACGTTAGTGAAATTCTCATCATTCTCATTTTTTTTTATTTTAGTTTCATGATCCTCAAAAACATGTATTTTTTGGATCGACTGGTTAAATTTTTAACTTCCAATTATTTATCTTTAATGTTTACTCAGTTCTTCTGGTTTTTCTTTGGAGTTTTCAAGTTAATTTCTTTCCTGACCATTATTTTTTTCCATCTCCTTTGGCTGTTAGTAAATTATCTCAATTTGTTTTGCCAAGGTTTGGTAAAAAGTTCTATTTTCTCTATTTTCTTTACTCTTGTCAAGATAAAAGAAATATTTGAGACTTTATTTTCCACTTTGTTTATTATCATGATACATTTTCTTTTCTCTCTCTCTCTCTCTCTCTCTCTCTCTCTCTCTCTCTCTCTCTCTCTCTAAGTCTCATTTCCATGCTCTTCTGTTCTGGGGTTAGAATTTGCAGGAGAATTTTGTCAAGGAGACACAGAGCAGTGGTTCTTCTTCTTCCCTAGACAAGAGAAAGAGAACCGCGGAGGAAGACCTAATCGCCTCACGGCTTCCGGATATTGGAAAGCTACTGGATCTCCGGGGTCTGTTTTCTCCCATCATAACCGAATAATCGGAATGAAGAAAACAATGGCTTTCTACACAGGAAGAGCTCCAAGTGGAAGGAAGACTGAATGGAAGATGAATGAGTATAAAATCATTGAAGGAGAAGCATCTTCATCAACTAGTAAAACTCCTAAGGTGTGTGACTTATTCTTGGTTTACCACCATAACCAAATTGTTGGATCTTTTTTTTTTCGGTAAATAAAATGAAATTCCATAAACAGTAAGGAGAAACATATACAAAGTGACTCAAAGGGACGGGAGATCTTCTAGCAGTTGGACAAAAGATCCTCCATCCCATTGCAAAAGGAACAAAAAAAATTACAAAAAAGGAGCAAACAAAAGGATTACAAAACAGAGAAGTCTGCACAAAATAAACCTCAGAAAATTAGATCTTGAAAACCATTCTCTCTTGTTTTCCTTGTCCTCGGCCCTACTCATAAATAGGTGATAAAAACACTAGCTTGAAACCCTGAAGGAATAAATTGTGTCAAGACAACCAGAAACACACACACACATACACTATAATACCATATGCCTCTTTTTGGGGGAAAGAGGGAGAGGATAGGGGTTTAACTCGCAACCATGCATCTATAGACAGTGTTAACAAAACAAAAATGATAATTAGAAAATTTTGAATGATCCCTTTCAGAATTTTGTCTAACTAGCAATTTCATCCTGATTATATTGTTTTATTAATATTATGCAGTTTAGACAAAAATTCAGTTTGTGTCGAATCTACTTAAAATCAAAAATTTCATGAACAGTTGATAGACGGCCCTCGGGAGTGACGAGAATTGAAGTAACAGGTCACGAACTTCATCGTGGCAATGAGGCAACAACATCATCACTTCAAAACCAACCAATGAGGGAGAGAACAAGCTCACCGGATAGCTCATCTTCAGGAGACCATGCCAATCCATCACAAAATATCGAAAAAGATAGTTCGGATGTGCCTGCTGATAATGACACTTTTTGGGACTTGGAACCGCTCAATTGGTTTGACTGAAGGAACAACAGAATTGGAGAGAATCTACAACTCAAATGGGCAAGCAACCAGCAATGTTGAAACTATCATCAAAACTTAATAAAGACAGCTAACAACTTAGTAATGGTAAACAAATGTCCCCTTAAACGCAACAACAAACATGTTTAAATCAGATTATATACATTCGTTTACTTACATTGTTTTCCCTCAAATCATCCTAGTCAGTCCAATCTCATTTTTCTGGAGATGGAGTCGTCTTGTTTGGAAAGAAGTTTTTATATGTAACAGCTGCACTTCGGGGCCGTTTGGTCTTCTAACGTTAGCAGGTGAAGCATTAAGTTTAGAAAACATAATTTATTTTGTACTAAGGTTGTCTGATATGTTTAATGTCTTGTAATTAACATTATGTACTTTTATATATCATGGAGAATTTATCCCATTTGGGCTTGCATTGTTTTTAAGGAAACGATAAGCGAGTAACCCATAATGGGTTTAATTAGAAAAAATAAAAAGTCTGATTAATGAAAAAGTTTATGAGTTGATGAAGATTCCAAAGTTAGAAGTTCTGAAGAAATTTCAATCAGTTTTATTTGGAGAGCAGTGGAATAAACATGTTTGGAAGGGTGATGTTGATTGGTCGTTGAATTAATGTTAAAAGTATACCTAATGTGTGGACCAATTCATATAGAAGATCGGGGGTAGCTTTAATGAGTATGGTTTTCCTAATATTATTGGGTTCTTGTTTTGAAAAATCTTATTTCAACCTAATCTTGATACCATCGGAAGGTAGTCCAGTGGTTTGCAGTATTTTGTTTAGGGTCCTCCTTAACTCTTACGAGATTAATAAGCACGATTCGACTCACGAGTACTCCCGCTGGTCTCATTAGCAGTTCTGTGGTGGAGGGGTTAAACTATGGCTTGAATCGGCCTTTGGGAGGCCTGCAGTTTCTCACCATCTAGACCTTATTGGTGGGCTTTCCTCGTAAGTTCAGGCTACTATGGTCACGCCCAGGCAAAGGTTCCACCCTGGATGTCCCCTTAAACCCTTGTTTTTGACCCCTCCAAAAAACAAAACTAATTTTTGCAACCCAGTCAATTACAAATGCTCGACTAAAATTGGGCTTCATCTATTACTAGAACTCACAACTAATTTAATAACTTCATTAAATTAGATTTATGATTAGATCCCAAATTAGATTCCTAAAACTTATACTTGTTTATTTTTACATTTACTTAATGTTAGGTTATTTTGTCTTATTTAAGTGGGACTCATTATTTATAATTTGAGCCCATCACTTATATACAGTCGATGATTACTATCATGAGAAAATGAATAAAACTATAATGGAGAGAATCTAGATCCATTTATACAAGATTCTATTTTATTTTTTAATCTCTATTATTTACATGAACGAATGTACTAAACCAATGTTTGTTTTTAAAAATATTAAAATGGTTTACTTTTAAAAAAATGTAAGTTTTTTTATTTAGTTTTAAAAAGCATCGGTTTAAAGTTCAAACCATATTTTTATTGCAATAACTATAATTTAAAATTTAATGTCAGTTTTAACGATAATTCATAACCATGAATGTAATTGATTCAGTTGAAAATATTGATCACAAAAATTTATAAATTAAAATAAAATAATAGAATTATTGAATCCAAGTGAGGTGACTGTGTGTTGATTCACACACAAGAATTAAAGGTCAATAGTCATGTGATTTTGAATGGAAATGCTCCATTTACATTTTCAGGTTATACAAATCAGTGCACACGGTTCAGAACCTCTCTCAGCTTGTTGCTCAGCTTCCCACAACAGCTGCTAATGGATGTCTGGGATTCTATTGGTTGCTTCCTTCAGCTCCAGTTTTCAGCTGCCAATGCCAACGACTGGAGCTCATTTATTAGACCAAGGCCGCTGCTTAAAAACATCTGCATCAATATTTGGCTGGTCATTTATTCTCTTCATGCAATATGTTTTTATTTCAAATTTTCAATTCATTGTAATAAGCATGCATTTTTGCTTTCTTTATTTTAAAATTTCTCATGTAATTAGATTGCATCAGGGGTAAAGTACATACGTCTCCTGGCTAGGTGTAATTTAATTTTTTTAATTAATAAAATCTTCCTCGCACCGTCGAGGTTCCAAAAAAAACATATTCAGGTTATGAGTTTGATAATGATAGCGAAAAATTTCGTTATGTTTTTTTGTATAAAATAAAAGGGACTTAAGTGACATTGTAATCAAATTCTATAGATTAGTGGTACAATTTATACATTTAAAATCATACCACAATATATTTTTTTGATATAATGTCAAACTATATATATTTCTTTTGGTAACTAGAAGAGTGACTTCAAAGAACAAGGAGGAGAAAATTGAAGAAGATAAGGACTATTATGCATGGCATGAGTAATGTCATATGGAATTAAAATGTTGACTTGATTAATTATTGTTATTGATTTAATTGTGGGTTCTAATATTTAATTGGACTTATTATTTATTCAATGGTTGCGATTGATCAAGTCAATAAATTAAAATATTTTTTTTAAGTCTGGGTAGCATTTCAATGACGAAAAAGGTCCATAAAGTTGGCCTCAATCACGACCAGTGAAGTGTTTGTGCTTATCCTTTTGTGATTCAGAATCAATCTTTGTGTGGTCTACGAGTAAAACATACAATAGTTGTGTAGAGACCCAGCAGTCAATATTGGATTTCAGAGAGAGAAAGAGAGAATAAAATTTGCTTTCACATGACAATATTACCAGAGAGAGAGAGAGAGAGAGAGAGCTCAACTGAACGGCTGAAATCATGAGAGAAATATTGAGAATATTCTTCCACCTTGTAGGCTTTTGAGAGAGATATACTTTGTGATCTTTTAAAACAACTAATATTTTCCTACCTTTCATATTTGCAATTGAAATACAACATTTTTTAATCTTGACCAAAAGGACATGAGAGTCCGCCAAAATGGTAACGCTCTCTAAATTTGCACTTGTCAGTGCTGAGTTCGACTTTTCTCTTTAATTTTATTATAAAAAAAGTATGGACCAAATATACAAATAACCTGATTAAATCTCAACTCGGATAGAAATTCACGATCTCTCAAATTTAAATCCATATATTTTTTCAGCATGTAAATCTCCCAAAATTTTACAACTCATATAGGAATTCATTATCCCTCAAATTCATACAAGGGCGGCTCAAAGTAATTTGAGGTCTAAAATAGAAACACTAAATGAGACCTTTATTTTTTAGTATTAATTTGTAAAAAATTAATTTATTTTAAATTTTTTATGTCAGAGAAACAAAAGAAGGATACACTAATAGAGGTTTTAGCTTTTATTTTTTTCTTTTATCGAAGAGAGAGAGAGTTTAATTTCAACTTTTGTTTCTTTTTTCTTAATTTTTTTTACTGGAGAGAGAGATAATGAGTAGGGTAAATAAAAGTTGACTTTTGACTTCAGAAGCTTTATTAATTGGACCACCTAAGCAATTGAACCGATAATGAACCATTAAATCTGCCAGTTTTCAATAAAATTGATGAACCAGATAGACCGATAAAAACCAATGATTCAACTTTCAACTGGAAAAAAAAATTAAAATCCATTTTTTGGGCAATTTTGCCCATTGTGCAGATTCACCAAGTCTTCTAGACCAAGTTTTAGATAAATTTTGATTTTCGGCTAACCCAACACTAACTTTTCGATACATCTCTGGCTAGGAGTACCCTTGATCTCATTGATAACAAGTAGGCCTAAATAGCACAATTGGGGTAGTTGCTGAACTATACCACGAAGTTCCCGCAACAACAAAAGCTATAAAAATTACAGCAATGATACTACTGGAAATGACTGTTTCAATATTGTTCATAGGCTATCTATTGTATAGATATTGATGTGGGAGGACGCTAAAATGGAATAGACTGGCTAATATGTCCAATGTCCCTCCCAAAATAAAAGGATCAAAACCTTTCACGCCCCACGCGTTGAATTCATAGATTGTACTTTTTTAATTAACCCATAAGGACCAGACACCCATGTTCCAAGACCATACAAACTTGTCACATGAAATGCACCAAAATCAAAGTAAATTACCCCTCCAAAAAATAAATGAATTCTAAAGATCTTGGACAAATCTAAAAAATGTTTTCCTGTAAGTTCATTACAAAATATTTTGAGATCCTAATACATCCAATGCCACACACTCCCTCTCCCTCGCTTCACTTCTCCAATATTGTGCAGCTTTACTATGTGTCTCAAAAAGTCGAAGTCCTCTCGTCTTCTCCATTGCACCCTGATCTTCTCCGTCTTCGGTAATAGTAAGTCTTCTTCTCCTCTCTCTCGTTCTCATCCTCTCAGATTAAGTGAGGCTTTGAATGAATGGTATTGCTCTGACACAGACCATTGCCTAGTGGAAGGTTACCCCCATATTGGACTCTGTTGTTGTCTTCTTGTGACTCTTGTCCCTATAGGTTAAGTTTGGCCGTGTGGTGAGCGTTGGGTAAAATGACCAATTGCAAAGACCGTCAAATTAATCACGCTTCTTTGTGCAATGTAATTTCATTGCAAACCTAATCAATTACTTCATGTATGATAAATTGTATGTATTGTGAATATATTTATATTTTTTTAACAAAATTATTATGTTTTATAATTTATTTTATTTTTTTATTATACAACCAATAGAACTATTGACACATTCTCTCTACTAGTTCAATGTTTGATCCGGTTCTAATAACTATGCTTGTAACACTCATATCACAGCAAAGAGATCTTACTATTACACAAACATCCATCATCTTTTGATGGTGTATTTCAACATGGATGAACAAAAGGTGCAAGTAATGTGAGATGAGTGTGGATCAGAGCTTCAAGGCTCGTGTATGATGATGCAATTAAATATTGAGGGGATTAAAGAGGTGTACACAGTAAAAATATAGTGGTTCACCGGCTCAGGAGATCGGCTAGTCCACTGTATAATGGAGGTTCTTGCTCATTTTCTTCTCTATTTACTATA